TTTGAACGCCTTTGGATACGCTTGTGTTTCAAGTTTGTTCTCTGTTTTGTGCGTGCATTCGTTTTCATTAGCGCTGGCATTCTGCCTCCCGGACGGTTATACGTGTGTGAGTGGTGGTTTTCTCGCTTTCCGAGAAGTTTTAGAATCGAGAAAGAAAACATGATTCATCATGTTTGCAAAATTGCAAGCATCAGAAGATTTGGCGCTATCTGTGTGGTTTGATTTTTTCTCCCGGACCAGAAATTTGTGGCATCACAAGTGAAAATTTTAATTTCAGTTTATTTACGCGGTGATGAGAACGGCGCTGATCTATTGTTAGGGTTTTGCAATGTGCATTGCTTTTGTGCACGGAGTGACTTGAAAAAGAAAAGCGAAGAAAAGTGATATTTGGTTGTTGTATGATTGGAGTCGCTGGAGGAGGAATTGTTTAGGGATAACTAGAGAAAAATATGCGTGGTAGCATCGGGAATGCCTTCCTGGGTGAAGGGATATGGTGAGTACGTTCCAGTTGAAGATTGTTGACAAGTGTATTTGTGGTGATGCAAATTATGGTTTAGATGTCGCATGGCTTCAAACATTTTGTGTATCCAAATTAAACATATTACATACTAAATACGCACAGGGCATCGTCTGCTGACCATTGCCGCGGGTATATCGTGGGAGTCCTAGGTACCCGGTTCAAGCTTTAGTTGGCGGCGGTGGCTCTTCTTGACCTTCTACCCCTGAGTAGTTAGTGTGAATAAGGGCGTCTATGTGATGTTTTGCTGTACCTGTTGTGGACATCTAGTGCATCCTGTTCTCTTAACTTGTTGAGGACACCCTGTCTTGCCTCAATAGTTATCCTTTTTTCCTCACGCGCACATATTTATTTATTTCCATTTCGTCAAGCCAGTGTAGACTACATACAATGATTATTACAATGTTTACTTACATACTATGCATTAATTCTATTCTGTTTTAGCTTAGTTTTTATTTGCTGCTTGGACATAGTGATGTCAATAGTTCCGCAATGCAAATTATATAGGCGCATCATTCGATTGATTGGGCTATTTTTTGCATAGTTTGTTCTGTACGATGTTTCTGAAAATAAATTCCGTGTTCTAAGATATCGACAAGGTGTGTAAAAATTTAATTGTGCGAGAATTTCTGCCGAATCTATGCGCATTGAAATAATGTCGTTGATGAAGAAAAGCATTGCAAATTGGCGGCGCTCCTTAAGTGTTTGTATATTGATGAGCATGCAGCGCGCTTCATAAGATGGTAATGGAAATGCAGTCCAATTCAATTTACGTAAAGCATATAAAAGGAATTGTTTTTGGACAGATTCTATGCGTTCTTCGTGTATGGAAATGTATGGATTCCATACTAGGTGGCAGTATTCCAGAATTGGCCTTACATATGTGGTATATAATAGCTTAATAGTGTATGGGTCTTCGAAATTATGACTGAACCTTTTGATGAAGCCTAGCATTCTGTTTGCTTTACTAATGATAGTATTATAATGTTCTATAAAAGTTAGTTTGGAGTCTAGGATTACACCTAGATCTCTTACAATTTTGCTTTTTTCTACTATTTGGTTGCCTAATGATATTTCAATATGCGGTGTTTCAATTTTTCTGCTAAATGCTATTGCAGTACATTTTTTTACGTTCAGTTTAAGTAGACTTTTACTACACCAGGTGTGGAATATATTGATTTCATTCTGGAATTCTTCTGCATCGCTAGAATTACTTATTTCCATAAAGAGCTTCATGTCGTCTGCATATACAAGCAATTTTATTTTTTTAAATATGTAGGAAATGTCGTTTATGTACAAAATAAAAAGAAGTGGGCCTAAATGAGAACCCTGGGGTACCCCAGAGGTGACTGAAATTGGCTCTGAAAGTTTATTTTGAAAGCGAACTATTTGTTTACGATGTGTTAGGTATGATTGAAGCCAATTCAAAAGTCCAGGCTCCATTCCTATTTTCTGCAATTTGAGGATTAATAATGGTATGTCGATGCGGTCAAATGCTTTACTGAAGTCGGTGTATAGCGCTTCAACGTGCTTGCCACTGTCCAACGCTTTAATAATGAAAGATACATATTCTAGAAGATTAGAGGTAGTTGAGCGACCTTTAAAAAAGCCGTGCTGTTTACTTGTAATTAGATTTTTCACCTGCTGAAAAATATTGCCGTTTACGATTGATTCAAAAAGTTTTGGAATGCAAGAAATAATAGCAATACCACGATAATTTCGAATGTCTGATTTTGCACCTGATTTGAAAATAGGTACCAAATAAGATGATTTCCAAATTTCAGGGAATTTTCCATTTTTCAGAGACATGTTGAAAAGACGCTCTAGAGGAAATGCGAGTTCTTCAGAAAGGTTTTTCAAAAATATGGGTGCGATGCCGTCAGGTCCAGACCCTTTCGACGCGTTTAAGTTTTTTAGTGCATTGAGGACTTCATGTTGAGAAAGTTGGTTGACAGAGATGTTTTTAGAAATTTCAGGAATGAATGCAAAGAAATCGCGGTCACGATCTTCTTCGGAAAATGTGGTGTATACTTCTTGGAAGAAATTTGCAAAGAGATTGCAAATTTCAGAAGAATTCTCACCTACATTTGCATCCAAATTCATTCGCGAAGGAAAATTGCTGCTTTTTAATTTCGTGTTTACATAATTAAAAAAGTTCTTAGGACATGATTTGACTTCATTTTCGACTTTGCGGTTATAGTCCTCATATGCAGAGTTGATGGCTGTACTTAATTGGTTGCATAAGTTGTGATAGTTTCGCAAATTGGTTTCAGTTTTTTCTTTTTTGTATAGTTTATGAGCTTTCTGTTTTTTATTCTTTAAATTTTTCAGTTGTGGATTGAACCATGCGGGTAGTTTATTGTTTTGTGTTTTTTTTTTTTTTTTTATGGTACAGTTTCTAAAATTAGGCTTTGAAGAATTGAGTGAAATTTTTCTACTTCAGTATCGACATTTCCTTCAATACTTATTAAATTTTGCCAATTTATTGTACATAGTCTACGTTTGGCTTCTTCGTAATTTACTTTATGGTATTCCGGCACTTCTTCGTATTCCCAGTCGCTGGAGGAAGAAGAATTTTGTACGAAGATTGAGTATTCAATTGCTGTGTGAAACACTTCATTTTTCCATAAAGGTGCTAATGATGTATCCACACAGAAGTCTTCAGTACAATTTGTAAATAGAAGGTCTAAATATGAGTTTTGTTGATTTTTTACATGGTTTATTTGATTAAGACCAAAATAAGATATTTTGTCGAATAATAATTGCAATGTTTCGTCTTCACCTACGACCGGGAGTAAAAATGATTCATTTTCAATGTCTGTAATAAAGTCTGCGTTTCGTTGATTGAAGTCGCCATAAATATGCAGTTTTACTTCTGGTTCCATATTTGACATTATAGTTTCAACAATTTGAAAAAATAGTTCAAAAGACTGCTTGTGGGCATGTTTAGGTGGAAAATACACAGAAGAAAAAATGTGTATTTCACCGGCAATACGTGCTTTGACCCAGACATTTTCGAATTCCTTGTGCTTATTTGTTATGATTTCTTCAGAAGTAAAGTCAGCATTGATGGCAAAGTGCTAGTCTTCACAACATAAAGGGCACCATTACGGAGCATGAGATTTGATCAAATTATTCGCAGTTCTGCTTGTCCAACGCCCCCGGCTGGGTGAGGGATAGAGGATTGCACACACACACACAGACACACACACACACACACACACACACACACACACACACACACACACACACACACACACACACACACACACACACACACACACACACACACAGACACACACACACACACACACACACACACACACACACACACACACACACACACACACATACACACACACACAGACACACACACAGACACACACACACACACGCAGACACACACACACACACACACACACACACACACACACACACACACACACACACACACACACACACACACACACACACACACACACACTCACACACACACACACACACACACACACACACACACACACACACACACACACACACACACACACACACACACACACACACACACACACACACACACACACAGACACACACACACACACACACAGACACACACACACACTCACTCACAGGCACACACACACACACACACACACATTCCCGTCGTTCCGGGGCATTGCTGTAGATTGAGTTCAAATTCTTGGAAAACCTGGAAACCCGTTAAGACAAGCGTGTCTAAATGATCTCTTCTGCATTCATAAACGCTAACTAAATTATTGATATTTTTGACCACTTTTGAGATAAATGACGACACAGGTACTAGGTTAGTAGAGGAAATAGCTCTAATGTTGGCCTATGGATCTAAGATTGGGTCCATCCCTAAAAATCGGCTATTTATCAATTTTATCTAGATGAACGCGTAGTTGGGACAGTACCAATGGATATTTTTGGTCGCTATTGAAAAGTTAGTCGATTGCTGAATTTATGCATGGGCCCAAATTAGGGCCATTTAGGCCGACATTACATCCATTTTCCCTGGTTAGTGTCTATTGATTAAATATTCGAACTGAATCGTAGGCTGCCATCGCATACTGCAGGGAATAAACAATTTTGAGAGAGTAACGTTTGAAAATGCACATCACAGTCGACATAAATGAACTCGGTATAGTGAATGGGAAGCACAGCGCATGAGTATTCAGTCATCCCCCTCCTGATGAACTTTGACCGAAGGCTTCTATCTTCGGATGCCAACCGACGATAATCATGTGTTTTATCGTTACAAAAGCAGTTGTATTAGACTACTTTCGCTTAGTCCTATCGTAAGGCTTCGTTTGGTCGGTTTGATTCTAAGCCGGTTGTCTTATGTTTTAGCTCGGATACTAAATTCGGTTGAGCAGCTGGTGTGTTTTGCGTTAGTTTGGTACGGATACTTCACTGACTGGATGCCTTGGATCTAGGCATTGCACTTTTGGGTGGTGTTTCCAAGTTGGGTTCATAAAAAAAAATGAGTGAATATAGTATTGTGCCGCGAACAAGGACGGAATGATTTCATGTTTGTTTATTTTACCAGCTGGCGCGTGGATGGGATCGTTCCCATCGATAGAATGAGTCGCATACGATGAGATAACGTGCGGCGAATTGGGATTGCGCCTGAAACGCGACCGGTGTGGATTGTTCAAATCTAATCGAATAAAAAACAACAAAACAATAACAGAAGAATTCAGTGCAGCTTATTGAATGACTTTGTTAGCGTAACCTCTATTTTGGGAGTTTCCGAGAAGAACCAACAAGAAAAGTGAACCACCACGTTAAATAAATTGACGCGTTCGTTATCGGGAAAATTGATTTCGGTGTGCGATTATGGTAATTTCATAAGTTCTAGGTGAAAATCGGAGGAAGGAATTAATTATAATCAAATCTAAATAATGAATTTGCCCTCACTCGTCGGCTGTCTGATATCAAGGAAAGGAAACCAAACAGTCTCATATCAACCGCCACACGAAATAGATGACGAATTTGCTAAGTGGATGAATGAATATGAACCGCTCGTCGTCACCCTCTGCCAGTCATTAGCTACGGAGAGCAGGGTGCCAGCAAGGCTTTGCACCATCTAGATGTAACATTTCCTTCCTAGTGCTCATCGCGCGTGGTGTCGTTCTCGTCGTGCATTCATTCAGTGTGTGTTATGTTCGGAACGAGGGGTCCATCTACTTGTTGTGGCAACCACCAATACGAGAAGATACGACGAAGAGGGTAATAATGTAATAAATTTTTGTGGAAAGTACAATTTCGTGACAATCGGCAATAAAAACATTTCAAACAAAGAAAACCAAAAGTGTAAAAACCGGTAGAACAAGCGAAAGCAGAAAATAAAACGGAAAGGAAATATCTCCACCCCGCATTCATTGCTCCCTTCTTGAATGAGAACCGGAAGCACCTTCCCCCGTCACCCATCGACAATCCACAGACGGCATTGTCGGCTCCAATCCTACTGCCAGCTGCCGTCGGAAAGTGTGAGAGAGAAATATTTATTATGCAAGGATAAAGTGAAGTGAGAAAATTCAAAGTGTTTTATTTTTCCTGCACTCGTTCGCACTTTCTGTCTCAATTCTGGCACTGGTTCTGTTTTACTTCGTCTTGGATTGGTGCACCGAAATCCAGAACCATTCACACAATTTGGATAGTATGGTTGCTTATCCTTCACCGTGGTAGAACCACCACTAGCAGCAACAACGCCATCATCATCGTCGTCATTAGAGGAGGAACCGCCGGTACTACTCATCAGGTTCACTTGCAAACGTGCAAATACTGGGACCAGAACTAAAGATTGTGTGGTATGCTGCCACGGGAAAGAGTTCGGATAACTACGATATTCGCTTAAGTACGATCATACTCGCCAACCTACACAACGTTCTACTTAAGTACGTACTCAACAGCTTAGAGTTTCTGCTCCTACCCCACACGAGGAAAGGAAAAAAAAACTCCCCAACAGGAAAGGAAGGGTCTGCTCGAGTGTTGGCATGAAAGCATTAAAATCGAGTGCAATGCTGCTTGCAAGTGTTTTACTGATTTTAAATGGATTTCTCATCACAAGCACGCACAGCGAGGAAGGTAAGAAACGCTCCCTACATACCGACACTTGAACATGCAAAGTAGTATTCCTCTACCTATATCTATGTTGATACGTACATACATTCTACCGATATAGATCATCAACAGTGAATAGCTCCAGTTGGCGATGGAAGGGGATTGAAGCTTTGTGTGTTTGCATTCTAATCGTAATTTCAAAATGTGATTTACTTGCTTTGATGACGAGCATGATGATGATGATGATCATGATAATATTCTGCAGATTTACAAACTCAAATAGAATTTGCAGATTGGTTTATATTCCAACGAATGAGACATATCTCAGTAGGTAACAGAGTTTGTACGAATGTGTGAAAATAGATTTCTTTGTTATGTTTGTTGATTCAATTGAATTAGAAAATGAGGATAGGATTAGCATCAAATAATCTATTCTCAACCTTTACTTTCGTATAGGTCATATCAACACAACCCAAGATTGCTGTCATTTGTCCCTATTCTATGCCAAACAGATTATCAGTCCATTCAATATCAGTTTGGAGAATAATTCAAACATAAGTAGTTTCAATCGTGACTTCCCAATCGTTAAGGGCCATACTATGAACATAACTTGAGAAAAGATCTCATTTTTATGATAATCTGCTCTAATCCGTTGTGAATGGAAATCTTTAAACTATGAATAGGTTTTCAAAGATCAAATCTGTCTTTACCAACAAACATATTAGGGTGGGTCAAGTTTATACGGCAGATCACAAGCAAGTGCTCTCCACTGCTCTTTAGATTTGTATTGAGGTCACCAAGAACTGGGCTAAATTTGAAAGAATGTGGTTACGATATGGATTTCCGGAAGAACATTAAAGTTTGTTTGAGATATCCAGATCATAACCAAATTCATTCAAATTTAGCGTTTTGAAGCATTGAGTATTTAAAAGTCTTATTTTATGTCAGTAGAATAATGTTACATTCGTTAAAATAATTACGTAAAAATCACAATCATGTGACATTTGAATGCAGATGTATTTGTAAAATTAGACGGTTCTTCGTGCTTCCTCTGTTTATTGATAACAATAATATATTACACTATATTATTTCAAAACGCCATATCTCAGCAACGGCACATTTTACTTTGGGTTGATGAATTTTCTAGACTGAACAAAATTTGGAGAACTCGATTCCTCTTTGAAATCGGAAAAAAAAAATCCATTTAGCTAGTGAAAAATGCGTTTTTTTATTACTTTTGTGAAAATTACCTAGTTCGCAACCCTTCCAAAATATATATTATTTTTCTGTAGCTCAATTTGGCACGAAGATATTGACGTTTGAAAATCAGTACTAACATTTGAGAACGGCGCAAAAGCCATTTGTAAACAAATGGTTTGTGGGCCCTTTACTCGCTACTCGAAGTTCACCCACGCAACACAACAGCTGCATCGGGTAGGGGAAATCTTCCCCTTCCTGACGATGCTGTTGGTTTGCGTGGGTGTACTTCGAGTAGCGAGTAAAGGGCCCACAAACCATTTGTTTACAAATGGCTTTTGCGCCATTTTCAAATGTTAGTACTAAAATAGCATGTCTTTGAAAAATTTAGAAAAGGGATGGGCGCCTGATCAGTGCACTGCAGTGGTGCCATAGAGGTAACTCTAAGACCACTGGGTCCCGAAGAAAATCATTATTATTTTTGGCTCACTCAGTACCAGAACAACGGTCCCAAGCAGTCCCAAGCTATTTCACTCACCCCTGCATGTTCTGCATGAATCCACACACTCCTGATGTTATCTGTCAAACTTTCATAGCGAATCAAAACAAACATAGTGTAGTAATAGAATTTCAACTAGAATGGGGTACGCCATAGAAGTACTTGGGACCAACAGGCTACTCAAGCAGTGAATCAATTTAAAATCGTTAGTTTCCACCCCCTGGTGGTGCGTTCCAACCAGCACAATCAAATGAGTTTTCAATATTTTGACCCAAAATAAGTATATTCTTTTAATTTTTGATCAAATACAAACAGGTCGATTTCAATTCTGCATATGATTGTGATCACTTGGCATTGAATGACCTGAACACTTAACAACAACAATGAACAACACAGAACCCAAAGAACATTTCAAGTTTTATTGCTGTTTTAAAGAATTCGTAGAGTCAAAATCATTTTCTACAAGGGTTTGATAAACATACAATCGTTACTTGAGAACATCCAGTAGACCAGTATCGACATTGTCTGTTACAAAAAGTTCCACCAACTGGTGAATAACCTTGCTCCGTGTGACATGCAATTGCCTAAACGAGTAGTATTTTTGAAGTATTTATTTGCAATGACGGAGTGTAAAGGATCGGGTGTCTTGGACAAGGAAATTATTACTGACCTCACTTAAGTGCCAGGTAGATGAGTATATCGTGAAGAAAGCGAGATGCTCAAACAGACCCGTTCCAGGTCTGGGACCTCAGAGCGAGTAATGATAATAACAAAAGGCGGGAAAAGCGGTTGCGAATTCCGAAAATTAAAACTTCAAATCAGTAAGCGAGGTTTCCTTTGAAGTTTTGCGGGGAAAATTACAACGTTCACGCGATAGTACCAATTAAACCCTTTCGACACTCTTTCACATGTTCGAGCGTTAATGCCAACCTCTAGGGCCAAGAGTTATCTAATAATTGACTGATAGATGCGTTTCACGTGTTTATTATTTAAATAGGGTTAGTAAGGGGGTGCATCAAATAGGGTTTATTTGTCTGTTCTATCCTAACTTCTGCGATGCTGGTGGTAGTGACATGTGTCCGTGGTTACGCTTTGGCAATGCCTTGTATCACTGGTCGTGTAGGAAGATTGTGGCTTTGCTAATGTATTACACCACTCCACGTGCAACGTGCATTACGCCTCACTACGTTGAGCTTCTGATGAGGTACGGGAGGATGAATTCACTACACGTTCTGACGTGTAATGCACGTGGCTGACGTGCAGATGGCGTTTATTTGTGACGGAGTGAACCGTTTGTTCCAACACCGATCAGTCCAACCAGTGACCAGTGACCAGTGATCAGTGACCCCAATAGGAGTCGTCCTCAATGAAGGGATCCGTTCTTTGCTAGGTCGTTCTGGATCCACGATCCGAGGGGTACACCCTTGTTTGAAGGGCTAGTTCCTTCAAACATTTCACCGTGAAATATTTGTTTATAATTTTCATACTTTTCAGAAATTACAAGCGTACTCACATTTTCCACAATGGCTTCTTTAGCTGTATTTTTGCCTTCACAATCCTTGGCCGTGTGATCGGTAACGCAGTTCAGCTTAGACAATTCGAAAGTCGTGTGCTTTGACGACCTACCCAACTAACAATTTTCGCAATGTTAACGCTTTACTCATTTCATTTATATAGCCTACAAGCTGTATTCATATGTTACACGAGATGAGAAAACCTTTAGTCAACCTCTATACAAGCAAATCTGGCGAATTTAGTCAGCTACTTATGGCTGTTGTGACGGTTGGGACAAGCTCTTATTGCGTATCTATTTACGCTTCTATACAGCTGTTATCCTGCTGTTTTGTTGTGTGTGAACTTGAAAAGCGCTTACTCAACCTTCACCCGATGTTCCTGGATCGCTGGACAAGTTGGCTTATAAAGTTGAAAATGTTAGTTGTGCAGTCTCGAACCGAAATGTATCCTGCCAGAGTTCGTGTCCCATTATATTCACTCGCAAGAGTTTTTCCGGTGACATAAACTCTACCTACCCGTCATCATTAGACATTCCTCGCCTGAAATTTCTTACCGGTTCAAGTCCAGAGACTAGGAACGCGATTTGTTCTAGTGAAAATAGTAATCTTAATGGGGTTGGGTGGGATTATATTATTTTTTTACATGTGTAACCTTGTTACAGGAGTTTAATGTTTCTTATATTTTTAAACCCAGTGGCAAATGTAGAATGTTAAATGTTAGTGGGCCAAATATATAATCTGCGTGCTCATGCACCTCTCATAAGCCCAGCACCAGCTGGCGTTGTTAGCTCGCTGATCGTTTCTTCACTTACGTTGCAGCTCCGACAATCCTGCTGACAGCATCCCAGAAGCCCTCCTATCGACACATTTCCTTGACGACATTCTCTGAGCTAAGGGCAGGCATCTCTTTTCACACTGCTTCAAATCGAGGACAGTCTAAGACCACCTGCTCCGGCGTTTCGTGCCCATTACCACACTCCTGACAGCGGGGTGAAGTTGCGTGTCCGAACCGATGCAAGTACTTACTTCCTGAAGCAACCGTGACCAGACAGAAACTGCGTCAGGTGTAAATTTACCTCTCCATGCTTCCTGTTCACCCATGTCGAAAAAACGGTATTAGCCTATGAGTCCATCCACCGTTCCCGCCATATCCCATTCCTGTTGCCACTTGGCCAACGACTCCGCTTTCACAAATTTTCGTACTCCTTGGTATCTCTCCGCGATTCACTATCCTCCCCCAGGGTGATGCCGATAGGGACAGGCGATAACGCATACTGACTCCGACGAGATGGTTTAGTATACGCTCACGACTCGCATGGACATGAGTCGGTACATACTGTTCAGTTTTCTTAGATTCTGCTTGGTTTCTAGTGCTGCAACCCAGGCTGAACCTCAATACCTCAGTATCGGTGTAGATACACTAGCCAGAAGTCGTCCAGAGTTTTTCGGCATGATTTTGGCTACCGCGTTGATGGACTTCGCTGCAATCTCGGAGGCGTATTTGACGTAGATATTGAAGTTTAGCCGGTCGCTGATCATCACCTCCAGGTGTTTCAGCTGTTGAGGTTATTGCGTGCTCCTCGACGGTGATTTCTGCCCGCTGCACCACTTTGCAGTTACTGACCAATATCACTTCCATTTTGTGGTGGGCTATCTGGAGTTTCGCTTCTTGCATCAAGTTTCCAACCGTATCGATCGCCTCGGTCGCCAAAATGTTCACCTCTTCCTGAAACCGTTAAGACGCCGTCGTCCACAAAACCAACGATATTTCTCCTTTGAACAGCATGAGTGTCAGCAAGCCGTTGTAAATTCCG